GCCAAGGTATTTACTGCTCGCACTTTGTTGAGAAGTGAGTGTATAAGTTGATGTCCTGAACATAAACACTGAAACAGCAAAAGCAGAAAGGGGAATGTAACATGAAAGTCGTTGTTTCTAGTGTTTAGGTAAAATCAGATTATTTCATCCCACTCCAAGCTAGATGTTCCGGTATTCTGCGACGTAGTTTTTCAGCTCAGCTTTCTGGGGTATTATTTAATGAACAGGTGTTCTGATACATAAAATAAGATCCATTTTCAGCTCTTGCTAGCGTATCTCATCTGAACTTTTCTGCTCTGACTTTGATTACAAAAGCCTCAGTTTGCAAATAATGTCATTGGCTTCGTTATCTGGACCAAACTTAAGGACTTGACCATCGCAGCTCTTCATTGCTCCACCTCTTTATATAGCTCAGCGCTTTACCAAAGCTCCATCTCTGATTTAATTCTCTACTCTGTTCTCATCCTTTTCGTCTTTCTCCCATATTTTCTTCTATTCTCTGTAAATTTTTATACGGCTTGTATTTTCTCTTTTATGAGAGCCTTTTAGGGGAATGGCGTGGCGTGTACAGTCACCACCATCTGTAACACCAGGATCCCCCTATCCAGGGGGAAAGCCATGTACAGTGTCATCATATACATTGCTTGGATATGCTTGTGTTTTTAATGTGCCCACTAATATGTGTCTGTGCTGGAAACAGTTCAGATTTGAGGAAGTAAGGATGAAAAAGTGTAATTTTTATAAGGAAAGGCTTGTAGTTGTACTATGTTTCTACAGAAAATGTATTTCTGCTTTTTAAGGCTCTGAGAAACTCTATCTTGTGTAAGTGATCTTACAGAAAGCTCTGGGGTCCCAGAGTTACTGGATTCAAATTTCTTCTTGGATCCTCTGGAAGCCTTTTAGATTTCCTCAGACAAGCTTTTGAGCGTTTTCAAGACTTAGAAACTGGCTCCCAGTGGGAACAAATTCCTCAGTTCACGTGCTAAGCATCTGCCAACTCTGTATTCACTCAGTATTTTACTTAATCCTTTCCTAACTGACTGATCATTGTTGCTGCTTCCACCCTCCACGTGGTATACTGTCCCACATGCTCAGGGAATGTTGTGGCACAATTGATATAAAGACTTCTACTGTGTGAAGTTGGGGAAATTAGCATGTCTTGCTAGACATTTCACCACTGAGAGGTAAATAAGAAAGCACAGGCTTGAAACGTCTAGTAAAGGGAAAAAATGACCAGAGCATTCTTGGCTGAAACCTGTTTCTGGAAGGACATCGCTTATATTTTCTGAATGCCTAAGGATTAAGGTATGTCTGAAACAATAAGACCAAAGCCATAATTATGCCTACCTGCTTGGTAAACTGCATAAGCAAAGACAAAGCAATCCTCATCTGGATGGAGAGGAAGGGGGAGCAAAGAGAGGTAGAGAAATTGCATATGAGAAGGTCATAGCTCTGCAGATACATCCGTGCTGTACTGCCTCATACTAATGCAGAGCTACAGCCCCTTTACTGCCCCATCATCAGTAAATCTGTACCTGTTTAGGCACAGGCCTTCCATGGGATTTGAACAGAGGGGTAGCACTGAGCATGGTAAGGGTCATACGGATTCAGAGCTCAAAAATGCATGTGATGATGGTACAGCTCCCAGACACTTGAGATTTTTATGCAGTTTACTGTGCTTTGGTAGGCTGCTGCTGCATTCTGCAAAACAGGACCATGCAAGTTCCTCGTCCCACCCATCTAATGAAAATCAAGTGAAACTTTTGCTCCCTGTGTTGAAACATCAGCATGGAGAAACCTTTACAGGACTGGAGAGGGTGGGGCCTCAGGGCTGCAGGCAGGCATACTCTACGTGGCGAGTAGGCAGAGTTCACTAAATTCTTTTACAATTTGCTGTTCTTGCTTCCCACACAAATATAAAAACAATCTAGATTAATATACCCCTGTGATTGTGCTCATTCTTTCTTCTACAGGTTCAATATGTATGGCTAAGGTCAAGTGTGACTTTAATTTAAAAAAAAATGGATATGCACAAAAGCCATGAACTGGCATGATTTAAAGCAAGGCAAGCTAGAACAATGCCTTCCAAAGTAACCATAAGCTAATTCTTCTCACTGTGATACGTCCTGTTTTTATCATCATACACAGTGTTAAATCACCTCCCTTAATACCTGGTTCATGTGGTTTGAGTACAACTACGATGTACCACTTAAGACTGCATATAATATTAAATAGAAATGCCTGTTTAGATTCTTGTGGCTGTGGTCAAGAATATGGTGCTACATTGCTCTGGGTACTGCAGCATTTTCTAAACATTAATAAGAAAGTGACTGAACAGATGAAAGGCACTGAAAGATGTGGATCTCCTAATTGCCCATGTAAGATTGCTTGAAATGCTTCAGATAAATATATTCCTAGTGGGACATATTTGTAATGTGGTCTTTTATTTAGAATCTGTTGTTGAAAACATTAAATTTATCCTCAGTATGTGTGCCTTATGTGCATTCCAGACCTAGAAGTGGGAAGTTAATACTTGCAGTAAGTTGACAATGTTCAGAGTATAGGAGATGATAGAATCCTGGTTCTCTGAGACCGGGAAGAACATTTAAGTATTCCGGCTGTAATGGAGCAAGGTCGTTGCCAGGTGTCTTGCGTCCACGGTACACATGCAAGCAGGTGTATCAGGAGACTGGCTTGGCTAAACAAGGAGCTCATGATGGAGCTCCAATGCAAAAAGGCAGTACACAGGAGGTGGGAACAGGGACATGCCACAGTGGAAAGAATTTAGAAATATTGCCTGAGTGTGTGGGGCAGTGTTAGGAAAGCCAAAGCTCAACAGGATTTGAGGCTTGCAAAGGATATTAAGGACAGAAATAAGAGCTTTTACGGCTACATTAGTAGAAAAAGGCTGAACAAATAAAATGTGGGTCCATTGCTGAATGGAGCAGATGCTTTAACGACAGCAAACATAGATGAGGCTCAGGTACTCAATACCTTCTTTACCTCAGTCTTTACCAATAAGCTATCCCATTCTTCTGTGCCTAGGAAAAGGGTTCCATTGGAAAAGAGAACCATTGAGGGCTGACTCGGGAATCACTTGAGAGAGCTTGACCAGACAGCCTCACGATACCAGATGGGCTGCATCTAAGGTGCTGAAAAACCTGGCTGATGACCATACAAGGCCACTGCCTATCATCTTTGAAAGGTTGTGGAGCTCAGAGGAGGTTTCTAATGACTGGAAACAGGCAAATGTTACACTCTCCTTCAAAGAAGGCCACATAGACAATCTGGGGGAACTATATGTAGGCTGGTCAACCTCACTTCACAGGAAGTATCCACTTCCTGTGTGGATACTACTGGAGTGAGTCTTCTTGGAACACATTTCTGGACACATGAAGGAGAAGAAGCTAACAGGAAACGATCAGCATGGATTTACTAAGGGTAAGTGCTAGCTGACCAGCCTGGTTGCTTTCTGTAATAAAATGACTGGATTTGTGGATGAAGAGAGAGCAATGGGTGTCACCTGGCTTGAGTTTAGCAAGGCTTTTGACATTGTCTCCCATAACATTGTTATGTCCAAGTTAGGATGTTGTGGTCTGTATAGGTGGGCAACCAGGTGGGTTGGATGCTTGGGCTCAGAGGACAATGGTTAATGGGTGGTACTCTGCCTGGCAGCCAGTAACAAGTGGAGTGCTGCAGGGGGTCTATACACTGGGGCTTTCCTGTTTAATATCTTTATCAGTTACCTGGAGGAGATGATGAAGTGCACTTTCATCACGTTTGCAGATGACAGCAAATTGTGGGGAACCATCAATACGCTTGTGGGCAGAGTTGCGACTCAGAGGGACCTATGCAGGCTGGAATGGGCTGACAAGAAATTCATAAAATTCAGCAAGGACAAATGCAAAGTCCTGCAGCTGGGAAGGCAGAAGCCCCTGCAGCGGCACAGGCTGAGTACTGACTGGCTTTGCCAAAAAGGCTTTGTGGTGTCTTGGCAGATAGCAAAGTGTCCATGAGTCATGAGTGTGTCCTGGCAGCAAAGAAGGCTAGTAGCGTCGGGCTGTGTTATCAGGAACACAGCCAGGAGACTGAAGAAAGGAATGGATTGTCTTCTACTCAGTGCTTTGTTCAACCACATCTAGGCACTGCATCCACTTTTGAGCCCTCCCAGTGCAGGAAAGACTGAAAAACTGGAGCAAGTTCAGCTGAGGGTTCCCAAAATGGACAAGATCTGGAGCACTTGCCCTTTGAGAAGGGGTTGAGGGAACCAGATTAGTTCAGCCTGGAGAAGAGACAGCTTCGGGTGGACCTGATAGTAGCCTGCCAGAACCTATGAGGTTGTCAAAGAGTTGGAACCAGGCTCTTGACAGTGGTGCCTGGTAGGAAGACAAGAAAGGATGGACATAAATTGAAACAAGAGAGGTTCAGACTGGCTGTAAGCTGAAACTTTTTCCCCATGAGAGCGATTAAGCATTGGAGCAGGTTGCCCAGAGAGGTAATCCTTGGAGGTTTTCAAGCCCCAACTGGATAATGCCCTGTGTAATCTGGTCTCACATCATAGCCCATCCCTCTTTGAGCAGTCTGTTGGACTTGAGACCTCCTGAAGTGCCTTCCAACCTGAACTTTTCCTATGATCTGGCATTTCTTACACTTTTTCAGTATGTATATAAAAATTATCATTTTTCTCTTCTTCAGAAATACGTGAGAGTCTGTCACAGACATATAGGTGCACCTGGCAGGTGGAGCTCACACTTGAAAGCAGACAGACCCAGCTGCAGTGCCGTCTTTGTTTTCCATTTTCCCCAAAGTTTAGTGGTTATGGCATTCACTGACGTGTAGGAGAAACGGGGATCTGCCGCAGAACAAGGCCAGTGGGGTTTTGAAATCACATCGTCTGCTTTCCACCAAGCTACTGAGTACTTGGGGGTGTTTTTGGTTGATTTGGGTAATGCTAGGATTAGGTAGAATGGTTTTGGTGCCCAACTCCAACAGACCATAAATCCTGAATAGTCAGACACTGTTTTCTGTGGTCCTGGCTCCATCCAATTTATGTAGAAAACTAAGATACTTTACTCATCATAGTGAATTTCCATTGGCTAGCAGTGAAACCTGTGTTGTATCCCAAATTTTTAATCATAATAAGCATATTTCTTCTGCAAAACACAGCTAGAATCTTTGAGTAAGTGCTGACCCAAGCTTGTGTCTGCATGGCAAGGTACAGAGTTGTATGAACTTACCTGCCAGGCTTCCTGTGCAGTACGGCCTCTTTTATTTGGCTCGGTGTATGGGCTAGGCCTATTGGCAGAATTTGTTAAGTGGGAGTCAGGGCTGCAGGACTGGGGTTTCATGAGCACCTGATGTCATTTATGCCTTGCTAGCTTGAATATCTGTGCTGCTTTCATATGCTGTCCCTGTTCTGTAGTTAGCACAGGAACAGCCACCTCAGGTCTCCTTGTTCTAACTGATATAGCCTTATGAATGTTACATGAATGCACAGTGAGTGAAAGGGTTGCTTTTCCTAAATTTTTCTAATTAAGGAATAAGCTGGTATCTTAGTGGTGGTCTTAGGAGAGGAGAAGGATAGAAGAAGCGGACAGTTCGAACCTCTCTATCATGGAAACCCAGCACAAGTTACTCACTCCCCTCAGCTGTGCAGCCAAAGGCTGAAACAGTGAATCCTTCCCATACACAGAGCTTGCTCCTGGGTGACGTTAACTCACGGTCTGCAAAAAGAGCAGATGGAGTTCACCTTTCCTCAATGTTGTGACCAGTTTCAATTTAGACATGTGTTGCCTGATTTTGTGTGTGAAGGAAAGTGCCTGGTCAAATCCCAGGCAGGGCTTGATCCTGCAGCAGAGCATTTCTTCTCTTTCACCTCCTCCCAGCTGTAAGCTTCCTCCTAAAGAACAGGAGAATGGCCTGTTAATGACTGTCAGCATAAGGGGCGCTTTTGGCTTCTCTCAGCCAGTGGTCCCAGGAGGGCCAAACAGTTCCAGAAAGGCAAGCGTATTTTGGCAACTTACTCTGCCTAGTATCTCTGTGGAGAGACTGGCAGCCCTGAGCTTGACCTTAGAAAGGTATTACCTCTCCTCAAGAAACTTAGCCTTGAATGAATCATTAATTCTTTATCATTATCCATTAATGATTCTAAAACTGAATGAGTTTAGCTTATAGAGTTTATTACAATAGATCCTAAAAAGTGGGATTCTGCTTAATGTTGGGGAATGTCAGCTTCCCAGGAAGGCAATAGCAGAGGATGAGGTACCTTGTGCTAAGTGAACTTGTTTGCCCAAACAGTCTCATAGCATAGGAGGGAAAACATGAAAAGAAATGTGGTCCCACCCCTGCACTCATAGGTCTGAAAAGTCCCCTGGATGGTGTGTAGCAACAAGGGAAATTTAATGCCTGTAGCAGCGAACTGTTTTCCACATAAACAAGTAGCAGAAAAACTGGCTTAGAAGAGTGTTTCTGAGTCACAGAGTCTCGTGGGATGCTTCTGGGTTGGTCATTGCTCAGAGATGAGTTTGGAATCAAACTACCAACTAGCTAAATGGTTTGGAGGATTTTCCTGTTGAGGGCCAGGTTGAGTAAGCGTGGCTGTTGTCTGGTTGCTTTTGCACTGCTGTATAGAGCAGTAGAAGGGAAATCCGGAGCTGATCTTTTGCATCCCTAGCTGACAGAACTACCTGCATGTTCAGCTCTGAAGTGACCCTCCTTATATTCCCAGAGAAACACTATGTGCAACCGGTGTTTAGAGTGATCTGCAGGGTACGTTTACTGCATGTGACTAGTGCTTCACATTCTCCTCAGCCTCCAGATCTCTCTTTCCTCTTCTGTGTCAAGTAGGAAAGAAAATATGGAGGCCTCTTGCAGAGGTCCTGGAGTCTCTCCTAACATCATCTGCTGTGAGGAAAGGCAAAATTTTAAAGCAGCCTGAAGTAAGTCTAAGAGAAGGCTAGTTTTGAAGTCAAAATGGTTGTTGTATCTCAGGAGCACCCTGGACTTCAGAACGGTCTTGGAAGTGTTGTAGAAGATGCCATGTGAGTGTGGGCTCTTGCACCACATGAAGGAAAGTGCTCCTTCAGTATTTAAAATATATCAAAATCTGATCCATTATGGGCATACTGCCATGGAAAACTGAGTGGCCAGGCCCTGACAGCAAAGCCTCTTACTGCTGATCATTTGTGAAGAGTCCCACTGAGGTATGTGATTAAGCTGTTCAACCACATGCAGTTCTGGGCTCTTGGAGGGTAGAGCATGTTCTACAGCTGTTGGTGTTAAGCTGCTTATTATGTCACAAAGGCGTAGATGATTTTAGCATTAGACATCAAACATGACTGGCTACTGAGTTAGGGAGTTTACATGTTCCTAGAATCCCTTGTTAAACCAGCAATGCACACTGGTATAAATGAATCTGTATATGCTTGTTTACAGCCTACAGCAATGATGATTCATTTATACAGTTCCCTTTGTGCTATTTAGCAGCTTTTGGGGGACATCAGAAGCTAGAAGTGCTCCATTTACTCTCAGGTTGCATGAAAGCTGCTCAGACCTGCCTGCAGAGGAACATCAATGCTAAGTTAATTCCTCACACATTAGACCAGCCTGATGGGTTGATGGAGCGGGAAATAGAGATAACTGAGTCCCCCTCTGCATATCAGGCAATATAATTGCACAGTCAGAAGCAAGGAAGGGAATAACTTTTCATCTGACTTTGAAATTGGCCCTGCTTTGCACGGAAGATGGGATCAGATGACCTCCAGAGATCCCTTCTGACCCAAATCATTCTATGATTCTAACAAGGAACCATTTTTTTCAAGAGAAACTGGAAATGTGTCCCTACAGGTCTGAAGTCACCAGGGGAAGTACCGGGACTTCCTGTGCAGGTCAAAGATAAGTAAAAATAACACTTTCCAACTATGGACTTTGTGAAGCACATCAGTAATTAATCTACTAATGAGTTTACTGTTTCTGACATTAGTGAAGTCATGTTCACCTCCGCATACTCTAAATTTGCCCAACTATCCTAAATTACACATAAAAATGAAATATAAATTCACTATTATCTGGATGCCACCTGCAGGCCTGAACTGACTTTCGGGTCACTGTCAGCTAGCTCAGCAGTAATTACTCTTCCTTAACCCAGTGAAGTGCAAGCTGGACTGAGCCTATTCCTTTTAGTCTGCTTTTCCTGCAAAGGGTGACTCATGCGGGGTCATTGTATGTACAGAAAGTGCCAGGCACATTCTGTGGCACTTTTATTTCCTCCTCTTGAGGAATTCACAGACAAAGTAGATGGTAACTTGGCACTCTGAATCATTCCACTCTCCTGTACTGAGCATTTCCACGCAATCCTCACGCCCAGCTGGGTCGTTTGGCTCCCCTTCCTTCCAATTACTGTAGTTCTGCAGTGAGGTGTTGTCTGCGTACACAAACTGTCCTTCTTTTTCTATGTCATTCATCCCAATGAATGCTCGGAAGAGGCCGCTCTTGGAGACGTAGTCAGCAATCAGGTCATTAGTTGCTTCATCTTTAGGCATTGCTAGTGTTCCTCCTCTATCCCTGCAGTGCATCAGGGCTTCTCTGTAGTTCTTCTCTTCTTTGACAATGTAATAGAATTTCTCATCTGTCTCTCTGATGCCTGCTATAACTTCAGAAGGGAAAAAAAATAAATTTCTCAATGGCATTTCAACATATATTGAAGATGCTTCTGTTCCAATATGACAAGGAGCATTGGAATTGATCAAAGCTGTTCATCACAGCTGAACTTGTGATGAACAGTGATGAGTGGTCAGAGAGTGATAGGAGCGACAAGCATCTTACACAGGTTAGGACAAGAGCTCTTCTGTCCTGATTGGCATGTGACCCTTGTCCTGAGACCCTTTAGTACTAGACATCACTGAAGTAAAAGTGATCAGATCAGGGCATGCTAAATGGACACTTAGCAGGGTCTAATTCTCAACCACCTCAGTTGCTTTTTTTTTTTTTTTTTTCCTGTGGAAACACAGGGTTATGAATAGCTTTCACGTCCTTTCCATGTAGAGGGAAATCAATATTTTTAAATGTGATTACTAAAATGAGAGATGAGAGCCTTATTCTCAGAGCTGCTGTAGCCACTAAGTGTGGTTTAACTACAAAGGGAGCTGCAGATGCTCAGCAGCTTGAAAAGCCAGACTTCTCGAGCAACATCTATCCTAGTGAATTAAACAGTGCCAGGGAGCATTCCTGGGTACTGGAAGCTGATTGTCCCTGCTGCTAGATTGCTGGAATGGTCCCAGGTACAGATTTGGCCTGGGGCAACTAATGCTTTTCCAAACAATTTAGGACCTAACACTGTCACAGTTCAGGAACTAGCAGAGGCTTGTTGATTCCTGGTAATGTGGCCGTTCAGTTTTGTAGAATTTAATAATAAAGATGAGGGCTGTTCTATGGCTGTTGCCTACAGTGCTAGAGAATGGTCCTAGACACGTTTAGTTTACTGGTATAGACATAGTCCTAGAAGTGGTGCCCTTTCAAAGAGTGGTGTGATGTGGAACCCTTTCAAAAAGCTTTGCTGTGCCAGGACATTTCCTTCCTTCCTTTCAGTAGGGGCAGTTTACACTGTCCAGCTGACAGCAGTGCCTACAAATATGACTCCTTATAACCCGTGTCTTTGAGGTGTTGGTGACTCCCTTATTACAGGAAAAATTAATGCTTGCACTGAGGGGGACTCTAGGACTACCGTGCATGCAGCCCTACTGTGCAGTAGAGAGGTCAAGAAGAAATTCCTATCAAGTTTTCTGGCACTTTGAGCAGATTGGCACAACCTTTTTCCTTTTGTTGCCTAAGAGGCCACTGAGCCTGAGGGTGAATCATGCTGAGGCATTTAGCAGTCTGTGCCATGTGCTTTTCATGATTCTTTCTATCATATCATTGATCATTTCTGTATTGTTTTTGCTATATTCATCTGCTGCATATTTCCTTGTAGAGGCAAGACTGTCTGTTTGCTGTATGTTTTGAGAGTGCCTCATAGGATTGGGTCCTTTTCCTGAGTACTGCTGTAAAGTAGCAATGGTAGAAGAATAGCAATGACAAATGTGGTCGGAGCAAATAAAACGTGTCAAGAACATGATGATGCTTACCATTCTTTACAAACTTAATGGATGTGTTAAGTCGAGCAACATTGACGTTCAGTTGTCCAACGACTCTGCGGTATCTTCCACAGTCACAGACTGTGCCTGATGCAACACAAAGGACAGAGAATTCATCTATTTAGAAGCATATGTGCATATGTGTGTGTGGAGGGTCAGCTGTAATCCCCTTTCAAACCTTCTACAGACTTAGCCTCAACTTGTGAAGAGCTAGTCTCACCCTACCTTATTAGCCATACACCTGCAGACCAAAGCACTCCATAGTTTGCCTCTGTATGCTCCCTTGATAACTTGCTTAAAGATCCCTATGTCTGAAAATGCGTATGGAAGAGTCATAGCTTGCCATCTTCTGTCCACCCTTTTCAGCGTAGGATTTACACATCCTCTGCCCCTCTCATTATTAATTCCATCGAGTTTACAGATGTGGCTTCTCATGGTGATCTGAATGCCAAAGGTCTACTTGCATAACCATAAACACCACTGATTCCTCAGCCTTCTGAAAGAAACAGCAGCATTTGTGAAATGAGGAACTGCTGTTCGCTCAGGGAAAGGAGATTTGTGAGTGTGCACAGAGGTAGGAGTGGAAAACCTTTGGGAGAGGGACCATGTTAGTGAAGTGTGCTGCATGCACCACTTCAGTGGTACAGCAGAAATAATTTACACTAGCGCAGATATTCAGTAGCTGTCAAGCACGGAAGGCCAAGTTATATTTTTGTCAGTAAAGTGAAATGTGACTTAGTATAGATTTTGTTTGTTCCTCTGCTATTCTCAGGAAGCAAGGAAGTTGCTGATGGTTCCCCGTTCAGAACTAAACTGGCATTGCCTCTGAAATGTGTTAAAAATGGTTACTGCTGTACATTCAAGGTGGAAAAACATTTAAGGTTATTAGTAGGCAACAGATTATGCTCTGTATAAAAAGGCTTATTCTTTTGTCCCCCCCTCTCCTATTAGGAGACTTCATTCCTTTCATGTTCAGAACCTTTTTTCTAGTTTCCAATATAAATGTAATCCTGGTCTATTTATATATGTTAGTTTTTTATGTTATCAAACATTGTCCATTAATTTAGGTAACTTCTCCATCTTTTGTGTATGTTGGTGTATTCATAGCCATCAGTCATGTCCCTACCAAGCCTCCATTTTGCTAAAGAAAGCTTTTCCAGGGATCTCCTGTTTATTTCATCTATTCTGAAGTTTATCCACTGCATAGGCCTCAATTTTGTGAAACTCAGATTCAGAAAAACAACCCTGAAATCAAAGAACCATCAGACCCAACCATTCTGAAGAGAAAGATGCATGACATACCTGCTTTTCCCTTTTTTCCAGGCACCCCTGAGAAGCCCTTGGCTCCTTTGTCACCTGGATAAAAAGGAAAATGTATTTTCAGATCTCAGACAGTTCACATGTTAGGAGAACATATTTGAAAAACTCGTTTAATAATATACTAATGGTCTGCTTCTGGTAGAAAGCCTTGATGTACTGTTCTAGCGGGTGTGCCAAGTCAAACAACTCATGATTAATTCTAGTGAATGGAAATAAGGAGAACCCTTTAATAGCTAACCCACCGATAACGTAAGCATCTTGTGTGCTGCCGGTTCCTGGTACCACTCGCTTTAAATATAAGCTATACAACGATCTTGGGTGGCTGAAAGCACTCAAGAAGCCTGTGGGAGGGGAGACCTGGGTTCTCTCATTGCCTTGCCAGACAGCCCTTTCCTGGATGCAATAGCTCCATGTCAGGAAAAGGCACAAGATGAGGCTAATGTGCACTAAGCTACTGAATTTGTGCGTGCAGCAGAGTGAGCCCGCAGGCAGCACTTAGCACCTGCTTGAAATGGGGTCAGTAAGGGTCAGCATTTCATTTCAGATACAATTCGTGGAAATATGGTTTATTTTCATCCAGCTGCTTTCCCCTTGTTCTGTAAATCATCAGAATGACAGAAGTACTGCATCAGATGCTGTGCTAATATATAAAGGCAGACAACCTTTTTTTTGTAAATCAACTGTAATTTGGGTCAGAAAATTCCCTCATCTGAAATTAATGTCAGCTCTACTTTTATGAATTAAAAAGCTTCAGAAGCCAAACAATGTTACTTGCTCTCCTTGTTGATGGTAGTATTTTGACATGCTTTGTCCTTTATATGTGTTTTTTTTTAAAAGAAAGTAGGAGTTGCCTGGCATTTTAATTAGCATTTCTTGATACCTTGCATGCTGACAAGCTGAAATTTCAGGGTTGCTTCATTAAGAACTTGAATGCTTACTAGTGGTAGATCTAAACAGCGACTGAGTGACCTCTGCTTCTCCAAATAAAAAATAAAAAAAGGAAAAATATTCCAACTAGGAGGGGGTGATAAAGTGTACAGTCAGCTTGACAGAGTTTAATTTACTTAAAGACTTTAGGAGCTTTAGTTTACTTAAAGATAAGCAGCTTGTGGGACTTTTAAATTCTAGTCTCCTTTGGTGACTGAAGAAATCTTAGAAGATAACTATCTGTGTTTTCAGTTATCTAGGTACTTTTGAAAATTAGTCCCTTAGGCCAAATTCTTTTGTTCTTCTCTGATCCCGAGGCTGCTAGAGGCCATCAAAGGTTTATTAGAATAGATTGACTTGAGAAGCTCTCAAGAGAGGTTGTTCCACCCACTCACTGTATGTCTGGGTTGATGCACTGGTTAGAGACCACAGAGTTCCCCCTAGGTCAGTGGAATCCCTGCTGGGCTTTCAAGGCAGGTCTCCTGGCAGCAGGAAGGTTTCTTCCTATGTAGCTCTTCTGGAATCCCTAAAGGGAATACCTATGCCTCTTCTCAGGCTACTAGGGCAATAATTTCATGAAATTACTATCCAGGTAGAGCTGGAGTCTGCTTTGATTTGCAAGGAATAGTTGCCCCGATTAAGTAAGTGTTCTCTTGAAAATCTTAAAATCTACCTAGGTTTTCGTGTGTCTTGCTTGCTCACATCTCCCACACCAATGCAGCTGACAAAGTGCAGCATCCCAAACAACACCAGAATATTGATCTAAAGCCTTCAGTGTCTGAAGCAGAGACATAAGTTTGCCTGTCTCTTTTAGAGCTCTCAGAGGATTTATGCTACTTACTCCACAATGGCCAGATTTCTCCCCTTCTCTTTTATCATCTAAGAGGATTGTTTTATTAGGTCATGTAGCAAATTATTTTAGCCAAATAAGTCTGATATATGCCATGTGGGAAGTAAATAATAAACATTTCAATTAGCTCTTGTCACCAGTTTTTTGTGCAAAAGTTTATTTGGAGAGCCTTGATCACAGCCATTATTTGATATTACTCCATATTTAAAACATACTTAATTTGAGGGGGAAAAAAAACAATCCAAAACCAAAACTTACCCTTTCCACCAATTGGGCCAATTTTCCCAATCATTCCCTGATCACCAATATCCCCCACAGTTCCTTTGTTTCCTGAGAGAAGAAACACAGGGAAAAAGGTGTGAATGATTACCATCATTTCTTTCCCAAAACACTATTTAGCTCTCTACTGTTGATATTTTTCCTGAGCTTTGCTGGTCCAAATATAAGTCAATGACACAAGTATGCTCATGTGAGTGTACATGCTGCAAGGAATAGTTTGATATTAGGAGTAAGCCAGTCTCATGGGTAGCTGCTACCAAAAATGATGGTCCCATTTCTTTCCTTTAGCTCTGGTTTCATATTTCTTCCCTCTCTTTTGTACTGTAACCTGTTGGACCTTACAGGGAGCCAATTCAGGAGTAAACCTGCAAAGAATAAGTTACTTTTTTGGTGAAGTTAGCCATCTGCTGGGTCAGCAGCCTGAGCCAGACTGCTGTGGGGTCTTGGTGAAAACACTTGCTGCTGCAAGGAAAGCAGCAGGGATTCATGGGTAGCAATTACATCCATTTTGGTGACAGCTTTCCCCTTTGCAATTTGCTGAGTTTCTTTCAGTGCTGAATGCACACCAGGAATGAGTTTGTTGCATCCCAAGTGTGGTGCCTAGGAATCAAGCTGTAACTGCTTTAAGTTTAGGAAGGTTTGCTAAGTGGAGCTCCTTTGCACCGACCAGACCTACTAAGGTGTTGCTATCAGTCACTGTGTTATAGGTAACCCAGCCTTTTAGCAGGCAACAGGAATGTGAAAGTGATGCCAGAAAATAAACAAGATTTGCAATGACTTTGTGCAGGCAGTTTTCTAGATCTCCTTCTCTCTCCCCCAGACACTCTCTTTTGCTCTGATATATAAGTGGTTGCTTGCCTGGTGCTGCGAAGTCTAAATAACTAGACTTCTACGGATGATTGGGGGAGGATAGTTCAGATCTGTGCTACTGTGAAATAAAACAGTAGGGCATTGCAAGGCACCTTCGTAAAACTGCATTTTTAGAAGCCCCAAAGCACCATATTTCTTACAAAGTAAAACTGCTAGTGAGTATTCAGATGCTGATTCTACCTCATAGCCAAGCTAGTCTTTCCTTTTTTTTTTTTTTTTCTTTTCTTTTTCTTTCCTCTTTCTCTGTACCATGGGCAAAAGTCCTTGCTTCTTTCTTGAGGGAGAGTCCTCATGGCTTTGCTGGGAGTCCTTCTCAAAGCAGGACTGCAAATAAAGAGGTGCTGGCTTTGCTCTATGTGCCTTCCCAGTCCTCCAAGCACCAAAATAGTGGATACCTTTTTAATTGATCAGTGGTTTATATTCTAAAGTAGCTGGCTAATTATTAGATTCCAATTTAGGGAGTTTCAGTTTGCACATCGACACTGAACGTCACTAAGATGCTTTGGAAATGGTTTGTTATCTGATACCCTTTTATCTTATGTGATCTTCTCTTTAAGATAGGAGGCAAAGTCACATGAATGCATATAGAAATGAAAAATGTTTTCAGTATAACAATAGTAAGAGGATGGTTTTAAAGATTCTATCCAAGTAAAAACTTTCCTGATTAGTCTTAAAATATTAGACCACTGTTGAGGAAGAAAGAACATAGATATGCGTTAACATTAAGCTCTGATAATAAATTAAACTCTTTAGTTATGGCGTGCAAGCAAGGTTGACACGATAATGTCTGGTGCATCAGAATGCTCTGCTCAGCTCACTACGTAGATGTGGGATATGTTTAATAGCATCAAGTCCTGAGAAATCTTAGACCCTTTGTTCCCAGCACAGGTGCTGTTTGATCAGAGGAACTTCCTTTTTCAGTGTATACCTTAGCTTGCTTAGCTGCAAAACAGGGGCAACTGAGACTGGATTTTGTTGAGCATCTTGATGTGCTGCTAAGAAGTAACTCTCAAAATTCAGTTTCACCTAAAGCGTCGTTTCACATATGGAACAGTAATTTTTCTGGTTATACATGTGATCCAGGCAGCTGATCAGTCTTCTGCATCTCAGTTATGTTAGCCGCTTGGGAGAGCAGCAGTAAATGTACTGGTTTATTACATGACTGTTTAAATTTATTGCCAGCTGTAGCTGTCTTCCGCACTGGAACGAATTGCACTAAATTCTCAGGAGTATTGTCAGGTTCACTGATTAATGTTTGACAAGCATTGTGAAATCCATTGGTGCAACAGGAATGAAAAGCATTAAACATCACTGTTTTCATGCACTGGTACAGTTGTGCATATTGGTATTCACATACCACTAACAGTCAACAGACTATCATAAATACCTTTTGGTCCTTTTGGTCCAACTTTTCCTTGTCTTCCCACTTCTCCTCTATCTCCTTTTTCACCTTCATCCCCTTCCAAAAAAAAAAAAAAAAAAACAAAGCATCATAGTACATTTCACTCAGTGCAGTAAAAACAACTATACATCCTCAGAAAGGAAAGTTCACAGGGTTTTTTTTTCCATTGATTTCTTTTTATTGTACATTGAAGGCACAGCAGCCATGGGATATATTTCCAGAGATGAGCTGGTGATTCTGCCCATCATTAGGAAATGTGGCACGCTTTCCCTTTTGGAGAGGCTGTTCCAGTCCAAGGACTGGACAACACTGACTTCTTTTCCTACCCTTTAAGCCCTATTAGCTGTATAGCAGATAAATAAGCAAATCTTTCTCTAGTTGGAAACTTGAACCGACAAGGGAGAAATACCAAGGAATGCAACAGCAGTTTATTAATTGCTCCTAGTGACTCTATGTTCAAGGTATGCAGAAGCTACAGTGATGGGAGGAGTATAAATATGTGGTAATAGATCTCAACATAGACCTTAGCACTTAGTATGGCAGAAGTCTTGCCTTCAGTTTTTGACAGGTGACATTCATATGTTAATATATTTATGTGTTAATATAGCAAACATGTTTTGCAATTATGCCAGTGCTTTATTTTGAAATTCGTTTGAACAGAATATCTGCAAGAGGTAAATTCATTACATTTATTACATTTATTACAGTAGTAGAGATTCCCCTCAATGAGGTCAAGGTTCTGTTACACAGGTTACTGTACATACCTGTCATAAGACAAAATATACCTGTAGTAAGAGAGCCTCTCACTGATGGTTTACAGTCTAAAGGAGCAAGACAGCAAATGGTAATTGGAAAGAAATGTTACCTCCTTTCTTAGATAGCATACAATTTTGCTTGAGGTTATGCAGGAAATCTGAGGCACAACTGGAATGGATTTTTTAATTTTCTGCTTCTTAGTCTTGAGGCATATCTCAGGAACATCTTTCCTCCTTTTTTTTTGACAAATGCAGGGGAGGAAAAGACCCTGCACCAAACAACCAGCTGTGATTACAGGCAGCCATTACAAGCCACTCCCTGTGTTCCCTACCATTCTCTGCAAAAAGACTTGCAGCTGGAGGGGAAGCAGTGCCACGGTCTCTTTCCCAGTCCAGGATGTCACTTATGAGTGGCAGCCAGTTGTCTCTAACGCCGGCAGCCCAGAAGGGGGGAAGAGGTTGCAATTCAGGGCATGGAGACCCAAGGGAGAGGAGTCTGTCTGAATGTCCCTAAGAGGAGAAGTTAGGACAGCAGAACAACATTACGTGACAAGGCTGGTAACCTGTCCCACTGAGTGCCTGGTAGAGGGTCTCCAGCCCTGGCGGAGGGTGTTCAGAGAGCTGACTGTGCTGAGGGTGACTGTCGCGCAGGCAGCCACTTACAGCCACTTACAGCCACCCAGGAGCAGTGGTGTAAGGGCTACCTGAGCCAAGGGCAGCATCAAGGACTGCTAACAAAGAGTCACTAGCAATTCTGCCCTGCACAGATTAATCTCGTGCCTTTCAAGCCCATTTATATATTTCCCCCTATAATATCTTATGGCAAAGAGTTCACTGATTAAACTATGTGCTGGGAGAGAAAGTCACTTTCCTTGCTTACTTTCAGACTGCTTGTTTCATTGGGCATCCTCTCACTCTCGTTTTGTGAAACATACAGCCCACTCGTTCCTGATTTACTTTCTTAGCCAACAGGTAGCATATTGTGGGCTGTTTTATGGGGTGATGAGAGCTGAGAAGTGGTGCATGTTAATTACAATATACAAATAATAGTAATAGCTCTTTAGCTCCTCTGTACTCATGAACTCATGAAGACTAGGCTGAGTCTGTCCCTGTGTGTCAAAACAGACACTAGCTTCAGGACTCCCCTGTGGAGGGCAGACTCACTACACCAGTCAGGATGCTCTCAGGGGGTGGTAAGTAGTCCTAACTGAGGAAGATAAAGGACTGAACTTCACTCTGGGTTAGAGGGAGGAAGCATTTGCTAGAGGAAACATGACACCTGCTGTTTGTGCTTGTTCACTCAGGCACTTTATTTATTTTCAACACCAGCTGGTACAGGACAAAGTAGGAAGAGAAAAGACTATAAGCAGCCAGCAATAGAACATGTAAACATCTTTTTATTTTCATTGATTCTTCAAAGATACTTGATAAAGTCAGTAAATAGTTGCAAAAGCCAAGCCCCTTAAAAATCCAGATGGAGCTGTGGGTCTGAACTCCAAGCTGATGAAAAGATGCCTACTTGTACTGGCGTTATTGTCTAGAGGTCATCAAATAGCAGGGAGACAGAGAATTTACAGGTTAGTTTTGCAATTTTGCTGTTGACTTCAGTGCTAACATTTATGACTGAGAAACCAAGCTATTGTCCTTTCCAAGCCCATCTGTGAAACCTTTGAGAAAACTATAAGAATCATTTATCAGTAGTTTGGAAATTCAGAAAAGATTCCCAGAGGCTGACAAAGAGCTCATGAAACTAAACTCCAAAGGAAGGTTAAGGGCTGATGTGATCATGATCTGCAAGGCTGTGCAGGGGAAAGAAATGTGTCATAATAGAAAGAAAGCATGAATGTGAATCAAAGGCTGGAAAATGAACCTGGATGAGTTCTGACTAGAAAAGTAGTACTGGGTTATTTAAAAAGTGGAACATGCTCTGCAGCAGGAGAGGGAGATGTAGGAGGTTCTTCTTCACTTCCAACCTTTACCGGTGAGATGAACTCCTTTGTATAGGATATGCTATAATTCTGGCTTTGGTGTAGGAACTACTGAGGAAGTTTCTTTGGCCTGTGTCATGTAGGAGAGCAAACCAGATTCCTGCAAATATCCAAACCATGGAGGGGCCTGTCACCCTGGCAAAATCCACATCACCTCTGCTAGGCCGGCGAGACGTATCCCCGTGGCTTTCAGACTACTCTACAGGGTTAAGGGCTCTAGAGAGACTGCAGTTTTCTGCAGAACGAGGCCTCTGTGCAAGAAAGATGCCTTGTTTATAAGAGACATTGCGTAGACAATTAGTTTTAGAAGTAGAGCCCTGGAAAGAATTATCAATATATCACTAGATGAAGCTGTGATTACTTACTAGAGATTTTTTTCTTTTCCCCCCAATCTTAGATACAACATTTAGAGTCATTAAAAGCTGCAGTGCTTTTTTTCTGGGAGTCTTTAGAGCGAGCTTTTCACACATAGGGCTGCCAGAGGTTTAATTGTTTCTTATGTACGGACCGTTAGACTGAGAGCTGATTAATGAAAGGAGGTTAAAGATGTGGGAAAAGATGCTTATCTGGAGCCTTTGAGATATTAGGGGTATATCAACTTTTGTTGATAATACATCATGCATAGTCCCAATTTTTGTTCAGGCCCTCTAAAAGCCTGTAGGAGAAGGAAGTAAGTTCTATCACCCATTCCTTCTTGGTGTAAAGCAGCCTACGAACCCTATGCCTTCGTTCCCCTACCTGGGAAAAGGCAATAATAATAACAATAATTTGCCTGTCTGTAAGGGGAGAAAGAAGATCCTGTTTTTTTCCCATTTTGCATCTCGGAATGGGTAGATCATTACAAAGCAGGGGTAGAAGCAAACAGCACTATTTAGTGGTACCATTTCGTTGTTAATTTAAGACTGAGTTAACCCTAACGTTTGATAATACGGTGTTATAATTGTATGATGTCCATTGTGTCCTCCATTGGCTGTGTCCAGTAATCTCAAATTTTGCCAAGAAATGTGAACTGTTGGGTTATGCTCCCCCCTTGTGGTTGCGCATTAATTTGCAACGAGGCAGGAAGGATTGTAGGAGGTTGGCTAAGTTTTTTTGGGGCAGGGGTTGAGTTGGCTTTGTCTCTAATTTATAATAAGCATCTCTCCCTTCCTCTTAGGACTTCATGTGGACAGGCCATCCCACTGTATTAGCCACTTCTTTGTAATCTGCCAAAAAAATTGAATCTAAATCCTGGCAGTACTCTGGACTGGGCTTGGGAATTTTGTACCACTGTGCTTTGTACAACATGATTTGTTTTACAGAATAGAAAGCTCAGATCCCTGACCTAATGAGCTTAGAGTCTATACCCAGAGTTTAAACTCTCCTTTGTGCTGCTGACCATTTGGGGAAGTGATGGGTTCAGTTTTATCCTAGTTAGCTGATTGTCACCTAAAAACTACGGTTGCAGGGGAGTCAGATAATGCACTGCGCTGGCACTTGAAGCACAGATGAAGCACTTGGAGCTGGTAGCTGAAGAATGACCATGTCTTCTCTTGTTAGTATTCCCTCAAGTTGATTCATGTCTTCTGTGTTGCAGATTTAAAATATTAGAATATTAAAGTGGAAACACAGAACAATAAATTACTAGACTCTCTGAGCTTGGAACTATACAAGACAGAAGGAAAGCAAAAGCCATGAGTAGTAAATGACTTTCACTGTCTTTTGAACACTTTAATTATAAGTGAGAGGGAACAAACCCATTCTTTTTTTCCTCCTGTAAAAAAGCTTAGGAAAATGGTGAAGATTTAATAATCAATAGGATTTTTAAGCCATTTCGGAGTTAGGCTGCTTTCGGAGTTTCACTAAACAGCACAACCTTGAAAAGTTACATTTAGTAAGAATGTAATTAGTAAGAATTTGCTAAACTTCTAGTGGCCTGTATTTCCCTGGTGAATCTTTTGTTGGCAGTTTATCTGGCTTGTATTCATGAATGGAGGAAGTTATCTAGTTCAATTGTTCACATATGTTTAGTGACTCCCAAGTCTTCTGATTAAGGACTAACCTCAGCTCTTGGAGAATCAACATGTGGAGTTTACACTTATCTGTAGAAGCAGGCCTGCATGTGGATGAGAGCAAGTCTGCAAGCTGTATAAAGGCTAAAGCCAGGAGGAGACTACTAACCAGATTTATGCATTCATTTTCCTCTTGGAGCATGAAAAATGCCCAGCCTTTACATTCAGAGCTGTGCTGAGAGACTCCCTGGTTCCACCCTTGGTTTTACTGATACAGTTTTCCAGGTGAACTGCCAAAGTCATGTCCTCAGGTTAGCTTCCAA